GTAAAATGAGATTTCAAATTTCTGTGGTGAAGCTTACCAACTAACGTCTGTCTTTATTTTCATATACTGGATTTTTAATCTCTTTTATATTCAATTAATTCTGTATATCCATAAAGCCATGAACATCTACTACATAAGTCATTAAGAAACCATCTTTTCCATTCGCTGAAAATCATAATTCAAATTACGTTAACCAGAGAAGAATAAATTCTATTAGGTTCACTAATAAGTAATTATCTGTTTTTCATAAAATGGTTACACAAATTAAATTTAAAACATCTTTCTACCCTTTTCTTCATTGAGAACGACCTCGAACATTGTAGAACAAGGCCAAATATCACCGAAAAAGCATAGGATTCTGACTACAGTAAATCCTCGATGAGTGTTCAAAGGCTTCCGGGACTGAACATTAAATATTTCATAAACTAATGGCCACATACGATTGAAACAAATCTCATTAGGTTCAGAATTCCAAACTCTACCACAGTGCTAAACAGTTATTAAAAAATCAGCGTTACACTCGGGGACCTTTCCTTGTCAGTGCCGAGGAGACTTCGAACCCTCACCGAGGATTTACTTCACCTCGAAAATAAGCACTGAATTTGACACAATCTAATGAATTTATTATTGGTACACTTAATACAAAAAAAATTATGAAACCCATCTCACAAATATTGTCACAAAATATTATAAATGACAGAAGTGGAAAGTAAAAAGTACTGAATGAAAGGCCAAAGTCACTTCCCTCTGCCGTGAATATCTTCACTGGTCGCTGGTGTCCTCTTTTACACGATGCTTCTCGCTCGATTCATCGTGCACGGATCGCAAGCACGATGTAATCCGAGCCGTAGAAGCGAAGTAAACCCGGTGCGCGCAGCTCTACTTACGGGATGCTAATTGGAAGAGTAGCCAGCGCAAACGAAGGTAGCCAGTCGAGAAGGACAGAGAGACCGACGGTGGAACGAGGAAGAGAGAATGGTAGACCGGTCCAGCCGCGATCTACCAGTTGATCGAATCGTCGCGAGAACGTTCAGAGAACACGCCGCGATCCAACCGTCGTCTGGCAACGACGTGAACTAACGATCCGGGAAGGATAATCAAGGTGTCGATGCCAGCTGTCATATACACATACCTATACGCGATCGCGTAAACCGTTGAAATCGAGCTAACGATTTCCGTGACGGAGGATGATCGTAGCAATCTCATCGGTACCGACCGTACTAATTGGAAATATTTGTTCCGTATAGAACTTGCCGTTCCGTCCGCTGATAAAGAGATTCCAGTAGACTCCCAGTACATTAATACACCGGTAGATTTTCAAGTGGAGCTAATCAATCGTCGGTAATTGAATTAACGGTTCAATAACACCGGGGCTAACCGACTGGACAAAGTAATTGTTAACTGCACGCGAAGATTTACGATGATGAACCGGTCAGTAGCGGAAGTGCTGTTACGTTCGACGCATATACACTGGTCTGCTCCGCGGATAAACAGTCTATTTATATGGACTTGAGTATGTGGTAGTATGTGGAATCTACGTCTGTGATGAATTGAGCACTTGGAAACAATTAAACTCGGGTCTCATAAATTCGGGTTCTATTCGAACTTGTCTTGTGGGCTTACAGAGTATAGTTATCGATCTGATAGAAGATACTGGAAACGATCATCTTTCGGCTAGAGGGTATTTAACTCAACTGAATTATTCCGAAGTGTTGAAACACGTCTAAATTGTCTTAAGACGTCCTGAATACACTCGCGTAAAGATTAAAAACGCAACATCCAGTGCAATTGCAAAACCATTTACTGAAAGTGAGACGCAATGCGTTTTGGGGTACCAGGATAATCAGCTGGAGAATAGAGAGACCCTAACAGAGAGGAACAGAAACTCAAGTCCATCGAAAGGGGTACAGTATTAAATCGTACTCCCGACTGTTTACCTGGCCGGATATCATCGATACGTCTCGGACGGTGGACAGACAGTGTGGATACCGAGACATAGAGGCGGCAAACGTGGGGTCCGATCCTGGCCTAAGTCGAACGAAGACAACGCTATTGCCGCGTGACGAGGAGTGGGACCGCGGGAGTGGACAGTTCCGAGAGAGCAAGAGAGAACTGTTTAAGAATCCTACGAGAGAGAAAGGGACAGTCCAGGGGACAGCTGGTATCGGCGGACGGTGTTCGTGAATGTGGACGAAGCCTGGCGGTGATGGTGATACCGATGGCATCGGCTGCGGTAGCGCCGGTGGTGGTGGACGATGATGGCCGTGGTGGTGATGGTGGTGGTGGTGGTGGTGGTCAAGAGGATACAAGTGGTGGTGGTGGTCCATCGGGGCATATCGGACCCGCGAACACTTGCTCTCCACAGCCCAGGAGAGATTTGCCCCCTCCTGCCGCGGGCGGCGCCACTCGAGGTGATCCTTTCCTCTTTTCGCCTCTAGGCCATTCTCGAGAGGCGCGCGCGGCAACGCGGTGTCGCGCGATCGGTCCTCGTCGACCTTCGACCAATATACACGCGCTCTTCTCTGTACCGTGCATCGAAAGCCACCAAAACTCCTACCATTTTTTGTTTTTTTCACGGGTGAACTTTTCCGAAACCGACGACGCGCTCCCCGTAACACCGCGCAGCACCACATCCTACACGTTTCCCCTACTCACCGACCCACGTGTGTGACCGTCCTTGCCCCGACCTTCCCCTTCGCCCCCACGTGACACCGGTGCTCTCGGCCACGTGACTACGAGACCAACCCGATCATCGGTTGTGCGGAACGTCAACACCGATCGTACAGCCCCGAGGGATCCGTTCGTTCTTCCGGTGCCGGGGTATGGACATCCTAACGCCCCCGGGGATGTTACCTGCGTAGACGTTGATCCGGTAGTTGCGTAACCTCTGGGACCGGCTGGGCGGTATTTCCGCTGACGGGAAACTTGGCCCCGTGTTTGTGCGCGCGTGTACGTGTGGAGTTTCGAGCAGAGAAGGTAAAAAAAAGGAAGAGGTTTTTTATATAATCCTTCTGACGGCGAAAAGGAATCGACTTGAGGATAGAAGCGAGGGACCTTTTTCGGGTACAATCCGATCCTCCTCGCCGTGGGACTTGGAGGATCTGGAGATATGAATGAATGGAGGACGGGATCGGTGAATGTGCAACGTGACGAGAAAACGAAGTAACGTTCCGTTACGATCGAGAGAAAAAGAGAATCAGTGACTGTTTTCGAAGATACACTATGTAATGGTGTATAGAATGCGATTGATAGAAGAAAAGAGGATTGATATTGTTGTTGGTCCAGATGATTTAAACCGCAGGATCGAATGAACGAATACAATACGTCGAGCGACCTGGCAACAAGAATTCCAAACCCGTCATGCCGGCAGGAAGTGTACGCGAATCGATCGGTGCAATCTCGTTAACGATAGCCGCCCGGGACTCGATTCCACGGTGAAATCAGGCCGAGTCGAGCGACCGGGCTGAATGTGAGAACGGTAGCAAACCGGCGCAACGAGCGTATGTTACAAACGAGCTCGCCACGTGACTATTCGCGACCGGCCGAGGTTTTTTCTGCGCGTCGTTTCAGAGCCTTCCGAGCGCGCGTGTTCAGCTTCGCGGTGTTCAACTGGTCCTTTTCAAGCCGATCGAAACCCCTCCCCTCTCTAATCGACGGCTTAAGATTCCTCGTGCGTTCGTCCCGTGAGTGTTCGAACTGTTCGACCGGCATTCCCCAGTGCAAACGATTACGAGGGAACGATTGCGTCAGCCGTGAAAATTGCGCGCTTTTTTAGTTTAATGCTTGTATCACACGGAATTATGGTTATCGATCGACACCCGGTGTAATTTCTTGAGCGTCGAGAAGGGGCCGACCCGGAGCGGTATGACACGACGAGTACAACAACGTTGATCGCATCGTTCGGTACCAGGTTACAGTGTAATTTGGCGGAATTTAGTTACAACCGGAGGCAACTCCAGCGTTATTAAGTCAGAACGGATCGGGCCGTAAAAAGAAACGATTCAACCTCCTCTTCTTTCCTGCGCGTCATCGGTCAGCAAAGCGGCAACCGCTGAAAACCGGGAGACTTTAATGCTCGCGTAGACGCGATCGTTTCACATCTAGCTACGAAGCTACGGTGATAAAAAAAACGATTGTTTCACGGACAAATCATATTACTCGATTTTAGATTCAGGCGAGTCGTCTGTCTCGGGCATATTAGAGTTGGAATGAATTGATGACAGGCGATTCACGTGCGACACGACGTTCGAATCTACTGTAATTGAATAATTCTAGACTGGGACAGGATCCTCCACGTGCACTAGCTCCCAGCGCGTGACACTTCAATTGCACTCCTCGACGCTCGCCAGACAACTTGTTGAAACGAATCTCGCTCGACCAACCTGAAAGCATCGTGCCCCTTGTATGATCGTGTCGAGGGTTCGAGTGACTAAAACTTTTCGGAACTTCCACGCGTGTGTTCGGCAACAGGTGTTCCCGTACCACCCGTTCGTTCGTTTCGTTTGCACCGAAAGGAGGAACGGATCAGGCTCGTTTTGGAGATTGGATGTGTGTACCGTTTTAACGATGACGTGGACCGTTATATTACCATCTATTGTCTCTAGACTGGTCGAACGTGAGTGAAAAAAGTACCGATGATCCACACGAAAATGAACCGTACGATGATCCACGATTTATAAACACGGTTCTTATTGAATGTCAACGTCGACGCTTTGTTCACCGCGTGGAGACTGAAAAGAGAAAGTGTATACTAATAAGGCACGTGGAAGAGGCAGGTATTAGTGATATCGGAATATTGTACCACTGACACTAAAGGGACTGGTGTACCGAACGAAAAAGACTCTATGAACCTCTATTCGTACTCACTTGAACAGTGGTGGTGCGTTGCCATCTCTAGGCAACCGACACACGGTGTCCCGTCGCGGACGGGACTGAACTGTCCGCGAATTCTGGTGATCGTGATCGAGAGGAGGCATCTGCCCCGGTAAAAGTGGCTCATCATGTCCGTGCTCGAGGCTGGTGATGCCGACAGGACGACGATGTCACCTCTGGACGAAGTCGTGTCCCCGACGAGCGTCGAGTCGGAACTGATGGTCACCGACATGTTGGACGAGCACGAGACCACGCTGAACGAACACAGGGACGGCAAGCGTAAGAGAGACACGGACGGCGACGAGCTTACGCCCAGGAAACTGCCGTCACTGACGAGGAACAACAACGACGTGGGCTTCGTTCTCGACGAGAGCGCCGATGACGATCTTCATGATGATAGGGACGACGTGAGTTTCACTGGTTTCTTTTTTTTTTTTTTTTAGGAACACATTGTTACTATTTGGTTTGATCTTGTTAACAGGACACGAGGAGAGTTAAATTCTGCTTTTGCAGACGATTTGTCTTGTTAGAGTTTTTAGGGGATGGTTTAACTCTGAAAGAGTAGTATTGTATTCCAGTTTTGGGGATTGAAAGGATTGTTTAGGGAGGGGGATAGATAGAAAACAGGTTTCTGTTAATATAAAATAATTAAACACAGTCACAGGAGACGGTATACAGGGTGGTACCAGAAAAATGGGTTTAGGACTTTGAGGATAGATAGCATTCATCAAATGGAGGAAAAGTGTGCGATATGGGTCGAAAAATTAATATTTTCCGAATGATAGACATAGTTTTTGGAGGCTTTTTTCTCCAGTTCGCAAGTACTATCTACCCTTAAAGTACTGAAATATTTTTTCATCACCGTGCAGACGATCCAAATAGTATTGTTTGTTGAAGTACATTGACTCAGTCAGGGTAACATTGTCCCAAGGCAAAAAATGATCGTTTTCAATTATGCAGTTCTGCTAATTTTTAAATTAAGTTGATTTTTACGTGAAAAGGTATTTCACATAAAACTACCTACAAATGAGCTACCAAATCGAAAATGATGATTTTCTGACTTTGGACAAAGTTACCTCAACTTACAATACCTTAAAAAATACTTTGCAAGTTCCACGAATTCTTTATGCCTCATATTTAAGTTATAAATAGGTCACCTGGATCTATCCTGGTCTTCTACCGTTAAGTCATCCGATGATTCACGAATAGGCATTTACCGAGAAAGCTAGACAGCCCTAAGTTAACAACCCCAGGCACACATTCGTTCCGCCGCGCTATTCCCATTCACTTCCCGAAGCGATTCGAATGATGCGAAAGTTGAATATCGAATGCCACGGGGGAAACTTGAGAAGCGCACCACCGTCGTGGGCAACGTTTCAGTGACATTTATCCTCTTTTAAACCATACTCCGTGGGCCCTCTTCGGCGGACGGGTCTCAGACTACATTGCGTAGAAACTAAATTCTCACGTGGCAAGTGAAAGAGCAGCTGTCGGTTGAAGTGTCCGCCCACGCGCGTTTTATACCTGTTTCACTGTCGTGAACGTATTCGGCTGGCTCTGTCGCGCACGACGACAACAAATCAGGTGTGCTGTTCTCGATCCCGTAGTATAATAAAACGAAGCTATTAGCTGCGTCATCCTTACGGCCCAGGAAGCCCCCCCCTGTTATAGGAGCCATCTTGATTCGATTAACGTCTTTCAGTTGATTTCGTCGATCCGCGCCAGATAAACGTCGCGGCGATAGAGATCTTCGAAGTTCGAAATCTCAGGTACGTTCGACGAATAACGACAGCAATCACGACCGTACAATTTCTCCATTCTATCCAGCCGTTATTTTCGTTCGTGAAATGTTAAAGGTGTTCCATCAATCGAAACTTAAATCTCGTCGAACAAATTGCCTGTTAGTCTAGGTCCTAGACTCTACGAGCCAATATGATCTTTCCGCTGCCATGTGCCACGTGCTCGAACATTAGTACTCATTTCTACGAGGCTACAACCTTCTAATTGCCGCCGTAAAACCAATACGGAACTGGGCCCTCTAAGTATCCATTAAATATATCCCCTGAACGCAACAATGCTCGTGGAAAAATCGAAAACAATATTCTTCGGTTTACTGCATCGTCGGTGCAACTAAAGTCTCTCATAACACGACAATACCGAAGGGAGGCTCTAGCAGCTCCGTCGAGGAAGTAGTTGCGAAACGACAAGGCGGTAAATCTCGGCTCCTCTAAAATTCCATTTTTATTCGCTGCTGTTCCACGATGGCGTCGTACCTCTTGAAGGAAATTTCAAATCGCCCATAAAATACCTTGTTAACATACGGTCCTTCTTAAATAACTTTTAGTTTCGTTCGTCCTGTTACTTTTGCAATAAAAAAAAATATGAAAAATACCCTTACGTTTCAAATTTTACCCCCGGTTCAAGTATGAAAAAATTGCCAAAAAATAGGTCCCTATTCTGTGATCTTTTCTCTGTAAAATTTATTTCTTCCTATTCGCGCACTCTACAACTATGACCAGGCCATGCCAAGAAAGTTGTAGAGTGCGCGGTGTACGGATTCAGGTATCCCCGCCTTTGTCTGCTGCCACTTTCTTTTTTCAAATTTTGATTGCACATTCATAATCAACGACATCGAAATCCTCGGTATAACAAATTTTATAAAATTCAAAGAACGTCTTCGCATTTTGGCAAGATTTTCACCATTTGGGACCAGAGTAGTAGCCTCGGTCGCTCATCCTTGATCGTGGAGCTTCAGGGGGCAAGATCAAGGATCCCCGTAGTCGGTTCTCTCCGCGCGGGTAGAAGATACAGCCGTGACAGGACTAATCAGCGGCTGGATCGAGCGTCCCGCGTCCCTGTTGCTCCGAAACGATGATCGGAAATTTATTATCTTGATCGGATAACCGCGGCACTGTACGAAGCGGCCTAATTGCGGCAAGGTAACATCGCTGTAGCGCGTTCGCGCTCGAGATACAAGATCTTATAGGGTGCCTTCTGGATCCATCCTCTAACCCGTTCCCCTGGGTTTTACGATCGTCGACCGTCGTCGTTCGCTCGAAAACGGGGACACGGTCCAGTGGCGCGCGCGTAGGCAGGATCGTCGTAGGATACGATGGAGTCCGTGCACACACGAGGTCACGAAACGGGTTTCAGGAAAAATCTACGCGCGATCCTGAGATCCGACGAGACGCGATGTCCTGGCATCTCCTGACCACCGGTAACCGACACGACGCCGGTCCCCACGAACCGTCGAACACCATTAGAGATCCCATTAACCGCGTTTCCCCGTGACGGAGACCCGTCTCTCTCTTTCTCATGCGGATCTTCTCGGTCCTTTCACGGTTGAATCGGATTTTTGAGGTTAGGTCGGGGAACCGCGTGTCTGCTCCTTGGAAAGAGAATTGGGTGAATTTGTTTTGTGGAAGGTTCGAATTACGAACGGAAGATAACAAACTGAATGGACAGTTTCTGTGAATGTTAGTTTTGAGGTTAGAGTAGTAGTTCTTTTTGAATGGATGGACTCGAATCCAGAGAAGTATTTAACCCTTTGAACTCTTGCACCTGTGCAATACTCGTTTTAAAAGTGCGTCAAAGAAAGTCCGTTTAGATTTCCTTTCTACTTGTTAATAAACAAATGCTATCTGTGTAAAATTTTTATCACAACAGGATGATAAAACTAGGTATAACAGAGATATAGAAATAAGAATTTTATGACAATTTGCACATTCAATAATAATTTTCAAAGTATGTGAACGAATGTGTGAGTCACTGCATCGATTCTCGATATGTACCTAATATTCATTAGTTCAGCTTCGAAACTAATCCAAGTTTGCATAAACGATTTAGAATTGTGGTAATAATCTATTTTAAGGCCTCGTGTCATTTCTCAATAATCGTTGTTACAGATTTCTAGTAATAATTTCCTTGACTACACTACCATCTATCAAAAGTAACATTAATCATTTAGACTAGAATCACACTGCAGACACGCAAATATTACTTAATGATTCTAAAGCTTGTCAAACAAGGTAATAAATGAACAAAAGGAAAATCAGATTGAAATTACAAGCTTTTATAACATCAAATGATATATAACGTATCGACAATAACTCTCACAGTAAATTGAATTAAAATGGTTTCCAAGATATTCAGGCCTGAAGTTTTTATTCAATTGCTGCTGATCACACACACACACACACACCAAACATCAAATATTCAATGATATTTATGTCATCCACCATTTATCTACTATTCTCTATTCAGTTATTAAACATACAAACTTACGAATCAATTTTTCATACATAAAAATCTCCGGAATAATAAAAAGGAATGTGCTCTGCAGAGTAAACAACGCTGTGAAAAGGCTATAAAAAGTCTATTCGCGTGTAGTCGTACGTGTTCAGATCGAGGAATCGCCTTCGAGGAAACACCGGAACGGGTAATAGCTTAACATCATCCGACGATCGGGGATTCTAGAGATTACGGGACAATTTATTTACACACAATTCCGTAATGTGTCGACGTCGCGTTCCGTGCGTCCGATCCAATGTGCACGCTTGCTCCGATGCCGATTCCAGGATCCATAGAACAGCATCCAGGGATTCCATTAACCGTATTTCCAGTCGATCGCCGATTAAAAATCATCCACGATCGTTTCTGGCACCGATTCTTTCTCCCGCGACTACATCCTTCGATATTACCGTTCGCCATCGACGTGTACACGAAGTCCCATTTCTTCTGCGTCTTCGAAGAATACGTCTCTAGCTTTCGAAATTTACTACTTTAGAAAGTGGCAGTGACAACGTGTCTATTCAGAAGGACAGCTTGTAGTTCTTTGCTCTGTCTGCTGTTGGATCGTGTACTCCCTGAACCATTAAGGGGTTGATTTCAACATGTGAGTTCGGATCTTCGGATTGATTCGAGATTCCAAGATTCCTCTGATACTATTCCATTATTTACAAGGGAATATTAGAAAATTTCTTAGTTATGTTTTATCACTGTTTGAAAAGTTATTTCTCGTGATTGAAATTTCACTCCTTAGATAACGAGACTGGCAGCGAGTCTATGAAGGAAAACAGCTTTCCTCCGTTTTTACGATATTGTTTTAGGGAATTGCTAACTGTCAAAGTAAATAGCCATTCATAACGGCATGGAAAGCTATAATTTTTACGAAACATCAAATATTAAATTTCAAGCATTCCTGAAAGTTTATTAAATCCTATGGCTCGATCTGTGTCTCCGAATATCTTTTCAAGAATCAATAATCTCCCACTGCAGTGTTTACCTAACCGACTAACATTAACGCGCCTGAATTCTTTAAAAACACGAAATTACACTCGAAGACACCTGAACCCCTCCGAGTAACTGAAGTAATTTAAAAGGACATAAAATCCAAGATCGTCCAAGT